TCCTCAACTTTATAGAGTTACATTTTTTTTATTTTTCAACTATTTTTTACATTTTTTTAATCTCTCAAACTCTAAGAATTACACAAATTTGGTCCTTTTATCAATTAAGTATAACGTGGCAATTAAATAACATTTTCTTTTAATTTTTTGATGATGTGGCAATGACATATCTTCTAATTTATGTTACATGGACAAATAAAAATATCACATCAGATAAATATTTGTATTTTTAATTAAAAAAAAGGAGAAAAGCTCTTGAATCATCTTCTTTCCTCCTTTCCTCTTTCTTTTTCCTCCTCTTGCCTGTTGCTGGGTTCGGTCCTCTTGAATCATCTTCTTCCCTTCTTTCTTTCTTTTTCTTCCTCCTACTTGCTACTGGGTTCAATACCGAACCTAGCAGAGCTTACAGGGTTCGATGGAACCCAGATCTGCTTTGGATTCCGTCAAACCCAGCTCTGCTCTGGGGTTCACTGGAACCGAGAGTAGATTTGGGTTTGACAGAACCTAGTGGCTAGGTTCCACCGAACCCAACTTCATTGATATGAAGAACAAAAAAATATTTTGTTATATATTTGTTGCGAATTGAGAGTTTATGCAAATTGCAGGTTGTGAGGAATTTTTGGGATCCTTTTGCTTCATGTTTCATAACTATTGTCTAAATGATTTTAATATTCGAAATGGAAAGAACAAAAGTAGTGACAGATCGGCAAAGAAGCAATTTTCAATGGGTTTCATTTGCTTGACTAGAAAATTGTATAGTTTGGGTGTTTGGATGCTGAGAAAATGGTTTCAATCAATGTTTTGGAATAAGTATTGTATTAATAGGTGTTTGGTTACTGAGAAAATTATCATGGTTATTAAGAAAATTTGTTAAGAAAATTGTGATTTAATTGGAAATTAATTGTAATTTTAATTTTGATTAAAATAAGTAATTACAGTTTAATAAATGAATTAAAAAGTGGGGTCCATAATCCAATTGAGAAATGCGATGATTGGTGAGTGAAATCTGACAAGGCATAATTTTTTGTCCATGTAAGCATCTTCTTTTAATTTAATTTGCCACATCATTAAAAAAAAATAAAAAATGCCATGTATATGAAGTTAACTGCTCAAATTAACGGAAAAACCAAAATTGTGCAATTCTTATAGTTGAGGGATTAAAAAAGTGTAAAAAATAATTGAGTGATAAAAAAAAAGTACAAACTTTATAAAATTAAAGAATCAAAATTAACATTTAACCAATAGGAAACGGCTTTAATACAAACTATTATTGAGGCCCAATGATTTTTTATGCGTTAACATATATTGGTAATAATTTTTAACATGTGTCATAA